GGCACTTCCTTCATATCCTCCCTCCTGTTCCTTCACCTCCACCAAGTCCTGTGAAAATTTAACTTGACTAAAGCATCAGAATCAGTCAGTTACTCCAGACTGACTATTACGTAAGATTTGCATTTTAAGCAGACAGTGCGCTGCCTGTATAGGAAAGGAAATAAGATAAGGAGTGAGAGGAAGCTGACGATACAGATCCCGGCCATGGGTGCACACATTTTGATCTGAAATACATGGCACTTGTCTCATCTCTTGCATATGAAGGCTAGGCTGGTTTTATTCCAGTTGAATTGCATGACTCTGCATGTGCAGGGGAGTATGTGTTTTGGGATGTGACGTAATGTCGGTGAATGTTAAACTGTGTTGAAATAATTGAGAAATTATAACATTTTATTATAAACTTGTTAAAATGCTATTTTAAAAAACTTGCTTAGATAGTCATGGTACGTCTAGACAGGAGTCATTTAAATGTTTAAAAAAAGCAGAAAAAACTTCATTGCAAGACAATCACTTTTGTTAATTACCTGGGATGTTGTCTTTTTCAGGAAAACTCTTGGATGCAACAGGGAGGTACATGTTTGTGTTTATTATTGCTGGAATTGAAGTTACCACCTCGGCACTCGTATTGGCCTTGGGAAATTTCTTCTGCATTAAGAAAAAATCAGAAGAACCACATACAAAAGAAGAAGCAGCAGAAAGAGAGGAATTAAACAAATCTGAAGACAAAACTCCTGAAGATGCCAAGGTGGACTCTATTGAAGTGGAGCAGTTTCTGAAAGATGAGCCTGAAAAAAATGGCGAAGTAGTAACTAACCCAGAAACGTGTGTGTGAGCATGACAAGAAACCGACAAAGCGTTTAGAAAAGGAAGATTTTCAACACTATTTATTTTAGAAATAGAATTAGTTTAGGGCTGGGCCATCTGCTTTATTAACTGGAGGCTGGTCGGCTCATCAGGTCTCTCTGGAAGCTGATTAGCTAGACAACCTTTTATTGGAAAATTAGCTTTATCAGTAGGAGGTGGAGCATTGTGGTTATACTTTTTATGTAAACTAAGAAGCTTTTATAAACACAAGTAGAGTCTTGCTATGCATCACCAGAAACTGCTCACTTGGAAGAGATATAGGAAGAATATATTTTAAGAAAAGTGGAATTATATGTTTTCAGACAATATTGGTGAAATTGCTGTGTTGTTGTGCAGCTAAATATAATTTCCCTTTCTGTGTTCTTTGTGAAGGGGAGAGTTTGAGATGGAAAAAAAATCTCAGGAACTTAAAGGTCTCCAATAGGTTTTTGAACTTCTTACTTTTTTAGATTTTTAGATTACTTGGCTCAGCCGTAATTTAATTTTGATAATATCTGTTACTTTGATTTATGTAAACGTATTTCTGAGTTTTGTCTAAACCTGTAATCTTTGTAATTATCATCTGGAAATACTGTACGTGGAAAGGCACATTACAGTTCCTGTCTTCAACAGATCACATAAGTGGTATTCGAAGGTAGTACTAAAAGAAAAGAAAATGAGCAGAATCAATCCTGACAGACTGTAAGCAAACAAAGTTTGCCTATGTTTACATACAGGGTTTTCAGTATAGTTTCCCTGCAGCATTGAAAAATATTACAAGTAACATGGAGAAGACAGATATTAGGTTTAGTAGAATCTTCTGAAAGTGTGCATTTTGTATATAAAAGAAACAGTGTAAGTTTCCAGATGACCTACAAATTAGAGTGGGTAGACTTAGGGAAGGGCTGGACTATTTTGAAATGAGTTAGCCATCTTTAAAATGCAATGTTAGCAACATAGGAAGGTCTTAACATGTTGTGGGTTGGTTTTCTTTGTTCTGTTTTGTTTTGTTTTGTTTTTTATTTACCCCACTTCCCTATGCTGTTGCTTAATCTACGGGAGTTCAAGGTACCATTCTTGCTGGTTGAGGAAACACGATAGAACTGTTGATCATATTTACGACAGCAATGGCAAAGGACCAATCAAGAATGGGGTCAGCTCTGCTACTCATTGCACAAACAGAACGGGGGTCTCTGGCCAGTCTTTAGATCTTCTCTGACATCACTATGGGGGAAGGAGATGAAACGGAACAGATCAGACAAGGCAGTGACAGCACATTTGAAGAAACGTGGAAAGGGAAAAGATTCATTGTGAGGACACTGAATAGAAAATGAAGGTAAAAGGAAGGCATTCTAAACTTTTTTTTTTCCCACCCAAACACATTCAAGAAGTGTAATCTTTTATACAAAATCATGCTACCACAAGCCATCTTTCAGATATGTTTAAAAAAAACTCTCTAGGCTTTTTGACTGCAGTAACAATCTTCAAAACAGACTAATTGTAACACATTCAGTTTTCTTGTTGGTAGCAAAGGAATATTGGCTTTCAGGTGCCAAAATTGTTCCGCTTAATAACTGAAAACTAAAAGACCCTAATCCCTTAAAACCCTGTATCCCTTTTAAAAATAACACCGTTAGTTGTTTCCTACTCTACCATTTTAACAGAAACATACAGTAAATCCAACAAAGTGCCAAAACCATGAACCCTTCCCTAATGGAACTATCTCAGATACCAGTTTCCATTCTGGTAGTTTCTTCAAAATGGTTTTGCATTGTCAGGACAACCTTGCACAGAAACTGAAAAGTTAGGATCATGATGATTTTTTTGAGCGATTTTAAAAAGAAATGGATGCTGCACTGAATAAACTGTTTATTTTTATATTGCATATAGTGCATTACTTTAAAACTTTTTCATTAATTTAGTGGCAGGAATTGCACTGGCATGTCCTAGTTATAAGAACTTAGTCACCGAACTTAGCTCCAGTTTGCTAAAGGCTAAATCAGTACTTGGAACACAACACTGCTAGCTCCAGAAGGCCACCATATGAAAGAGCAAGAGGAAAATGGAATCCACAGATCAGCTTACGATATCCCTGGAGGCTGCTTCAGATGATATGTGAAGGCCTGATAATAGCTTTCAGATTGGAGTTCCCTGTTCTGTTTCAAAAAGCAAAAACTAGAATCCTTCCCAAAGGTGAATTCAGATTCTCAAATAGCCATTTTTGTCTTACTGTGGCTTTTGATCACCAGATTTCTTTGCTAGATAATGCTATACTGTTATCACAGAACTAACTATTCCTTTGACCTCAGGTTTTGGCACAATTTTAAGTTTCTGTACATTCTGTGAATTGTCTAGACTGTAACATCTCAAAAATTTGGGCTTATCATACTGATTTTCCAGACTATTTTCCAACCATAATACCTTTATGCTTAAGCTGGAAACAAGAAGTGTTATGTTACATTTTTATGTGATTGGGGCAGAAGAGGAAGTTATTAAGACAAGGGAAACACATTTCAACAAGACACCATAAATAATTCCTAAAGTAGTGTTCATGGAAAGCGCCGCGTTGGTGTATACAAGTTCTTTTCCTCAGCTCAAAGATGTACTACTCTGGGACTGCTAGTGCTCTTGTGCTATTTTCAGCACAGACCTACCACTGGATTGCAGTACTTGTGAGAGCAGGAGATGGTTACTGCATGAGAGAGGTCAAATCACAGAACTCTTATTGACTGTGAGAAATAAGGGTTGGAATTCAATTTGCTAGAGCAGTCTCACACAGGCTATAAAATCTTTTACCCTTTTGATTATTTACGAGAAGCATCAATGCAGAGATGAGAAACTCCTAACGCAGATCTCTGAGCAACATCAAAACTGGCAGGCTTGAGACTATTTCTGAGTTCTGGAGCCAATTAAGCTCCCTGCTTCCATTCTGTCCCATTCAGGGCTGACATCCAGGTGTGTGCTAGCCCTCCAGTCTTCTTTCTCTTCAGCTGCCTTTATTTCCTTGGAAAGAGATTGATTATACTAACGAGAAGGAAACCTCCATGCATGCCAGATCCCTAGCCTTGACAACTGCGAGCCAGTGTGCTGGGCTGTGCTGAGGCATGTACCCAACTGCTCCGATGGACATGGCCACAAAGGCCTTTACACTGAGCTCCTGCTTTATAGACCTCCCTCCTTCCTACCCCAAGATGTTTAATAAAAACAAGCAGCGAGTCCTTGGGTTCCCAGCACTGTCCTAGAACACCAGCTAGGAACTGTTACATAGAGAAGGAGAGGACTATTGGAACCCTTTCTCTTGGCAAGACTAGCCTGGCTCCTTATTAATTTAACGCTGGTTATTTTAAATTCACAAGGAACGGCTTTTAAACCCCTCCAGGTAGCAGAACAGTTCCATGCGACATCTACCTGGATGAACCTTTGTTCAACCTTCACCTGGTTAATATTTAGTGATTTGAAAAAAGGAAAGGGAAGAAAGGGGGAAGGGGAAGGGAAAGCAGGTAATGACACAACTGAATTGCCAAGCATCCCAAAGACAACATTATAATTTGCTCTTGTATCCTACACTATTGGAACAAATGTAATTTCTTTAGACACATAGTTCATGAATCTATTTAAGAAGTCTGTGAGGGAAACAATCGAAAAACACAAGTGCAAAAAATCCAAGTATAATACTATAAAACAGCTGGAAGATAGTTTTCATAATTATTTCTCTGAAACTAATGAATGGTCTTTTAGCGTACAGGCTAGCATAATTTTTAAAGCTTTTTAGATCTTTGTACGTTCTATATATAGGATTTATGGTTAAAATATCATATATTTGATCATGTAATGGATCTTAGGCCCTTAATTTCCTAATGCAAGGAGAGGGTGTGTGTATAAATGCCTGTAACACACAGAGAATATATAAAGAGGTGTATATGTGTGTGCATATATATGTATTTATATATGCATGTATCAATCTGTACACATCAAACATGCAAAATATCCAGCAGAGTAGAATAGAGACAGTTTGCCTGTTTACTAGACAATAAGCAATGCAGTTAAAACTATTTTCTTCCTCCTCCTATACAAAGATAAGTTTGCTTTTTTAACATTCCTAAATAAAATATCTTTTAGCTATTTGGAGCCTAGAAGATCTCAGCATAACGAAAAATCTTAAAAGTGATGCAGCTGTGTGTTTCAGATCACGATCTCTAGATTTTATTTTTCTCCAGTCCTTAAATACATTACAGTAAGTCTTCAGCAGTACATGCTGCTAAAGCAGCTAGTTCCCTAAAGTTGAGACTTAAGATGATATGAAGGTATGGTGTGAAAGACTAGACAGATCTTGTGCTTGTTAATACTAAATCCCATCCAAACAAACGTGTGTGTTAGACAATGTAAAATCATTCTCTAAAAAGAAATGAAAACATTCCCCTAACCAAGCAATCAAACTTCCAAATGAAAATTCAAAATACACTCATGTATGCACCTTCGTTACGTCCCAAAGAAAAGCTTCAGTCTGGTAGGCAATCGTGAACAGTGGGCTTTCAGAAGAACGCAAACTCTTACACGTTACAGCAGTAAGTACTGACTTGTGTATGTGTGTCTGTGTCTCTCTGCCACACTTGTCTTTAGGATTATGGGAGTACACTTCAGTTTTGTGCAAGTGAGATGACTTTTTGTTTCTTGTTAACGCACTTTAATGTGATGTGTACGTTTATACTTAGATTTTTTTTTAATGCTTTTCTAGCAAACTGTTGCAAATGTGAATAAATATGTATTTGGTTGTCAAAAACTGTGGGTGTGAGAAAATAAGCTTAGAAAAAATAACTTTTAACACCCAGATTTGAAAATTTGGCTTCATTTGCACATGCTCAAATAGCTATACAGAAGCAGACTGCTTATAGAGTAGAAAATAAGAGGTGACACCGAGCTGACAGGCAGCCAGAATTTAATGTGGGCAAGGGGACTGCTTTTGCCATGACTCATAGTTTGGCCAATTCCAAAATGGAAATGGGCTCCTGCTGTAAATAATCCTGAAGACTTTTAAAAGCATCAACTAATTTATAATAATAGCTATTAATTTTGTGGTGCTCCATGCAGAAATTATCGTTCTTGTCTTCTCAAGAGTGCTCCAGGTTTTGTTTGCAGGTGAAGTTTTATAACTGCTATGACTAAATATCTTGAGTACTGACCTGCCAGCCATCTGTCTTTATCATCATGTGATGCTCTTTAGAACTGGAAAGCTCCTAAGAAAACACAGTTTAAGAATACATTTATGGTGGGTTTTTTTGGATCCTATGGTACCCCAGCTAAGACTGGCTCCTCAAGGTATAATCTCAAGGCTACACCCAAGTGAATCAAAATTAGAGTCTCTTCAATGTAACAAGAGCTACATTTTGCTATCTAGAAGGCTCACACCTATTTGTGCCTAATTCTAAGTACCTGCTGAGAAATTCTGGAGGAATCTCTCTAAGCTTAGCTTCTGAAGAGTCTCTGTTGATGTACACTGAAAAGATCATAGGTCTAGTTTACATAAAACCCCATGTTTGAATAAACATATGCTTACCTTTTTTGTTCTAGTTTAAATTGGTAAGACTTAAGATGTAATCAAATGCTTTGCTACCCCGCTGGCCAGATCAAGCCACATGCTATTACCGGAATGAATGTTACCCAGTGGACTGAAATGACAGAATTTATTAGCATGCAGTCAGCATGTCCTTGTGACAGAAAACCAAAGACTTTATCTTTGCCTCTGGTACTCTTTGAGTCTGAAAGAAAGGAGTTGGGCCATTTGCTGTGGAGCAAAATGGGCATGACCTGAGTTGCACAGCTGTTGTTCCCTGCTGCTGGACCTGTTGAAGGAAGGTGATCCACCAATATTTGAAGCGTTAACAACTTTGACAAATAGCAAAGGCACTGCATATGAGAAGCAGCAGCTTTGGAATGTATTATTTTAGCAGCCTTCTCAACACTTCTGGAATAGAGCTCATCTTTGTGCAAGTAGGAAAAAGGTGCATCTACTGCAAAAGTCAGGGCTTTTAAAAGTATCTCGCTAGTGACACAGTCCATCGTCTGAGAAAGTATGGAAAGTTAGAGGCAGACAGAGTAAAAAGCTACTTACCTCTAGTTATATGGTGTTCATTCCTTGACTGATCTCAATACCTGCTTCATCATCTCAGCAACATTCCAGCTGGCAACTTTCCTCACTATCCCTAGATAAATGCTTTGGGGCAGTAAGAAATGAGGATAGCTCTTGCTCTTCTGACTCTTCATCTGCTACTGTTTCAGCAGTTTAAAGCCTTTCACTGGAAAATTCTGAATCCAGTGAAGAAGCATATCTAGATTTTAGTATTTAAAATTCTTTTCAGTCCCGCTGAAAAATGTGGCGTAAGACCCAGTAGCTGACAATGTCAGACAAACTTAAAATACAATTTCTTAGCAGTGAGAGCAGAGAAACATTTGCTGTTTGGGGTCTTTTAAGAAAAAAAATAAATCTGTGTGTGACCTCAAAATACTGTGAATAGCTGGTTTATCCTTTCCTTAAGGATTATGGGAAATACCAGAACCTCTGCTTGCCTTTGTGCCTGTAACGCTTGCAGCTTTGAACCAAGCTGAGGACTGTAATTAAACTAAATGTTTTGTCTGATTATGAGATCAGGACTAGACATTTTCTTCCTAGTGCATAATGTACCAAATGAATTCCTGTTTTGTTCCACATCCCACTCCACTCCAAGTATCCTGGACTGGTCACAGCAAAGACATAGCAGACTAGGGCTTAATGCTTTAGGATGATATACACAATTTCCCTTTTTTCCACATTCCTATTTGTCCATTATATTTCTCAGACCTAGATCTTATCTATGCATTTTTAGTCAAGAATTTTCCCAAAATGAGATTAACAAAGAACACTATCTTAAAAAAAGATTTTTTTTTTTGTAGGCTGCATATTTTTGTAGATCATGTATATACAGATCTCATCTAATTTTCTGTTGTCCCCCTGCCTGCAGCATGCAATGGTTTTGTCAAAAAACCCGAAGCATATTAGTCTTAATAAGATTTAAGCAGGAAAAAACAAATGTCTGAAAAAAAGTCTTGAAGTGTTACTCCTGTGCAAATATTTGCTGGTAAACTTAGTAGGATTTTGCTGTGAAACAGATTTTTATTGAAGATCAGGCCTCTGAGCACTCTCCTGGTACAGAACTACTGAATGATGCAAATAGTCCATACAATCACTTAAATCTAGACATACACACGTAACACCAGTAATTGTCACCTGAATGAACCAGAGGGAAGTGTACTGTTTTTAATAATGAAGTACTGCATTCTTTAACAGCAAACCCTTTTTATTATTAACCTGTCTCATCCAGTGAATTTTAAAAGCTATTTTGCTGTAGGATTAAGTTAATGGTGGATTACACTTCCTCACAACTGGATTAAATCTAGATTTCTGACCAGGTGTCTCAGCACTATTAAAAAAACAGCAGCGTTTTTTGTTTTCACTTAGTATTTTGTACACATGAAGTGCTGCTTTTGTCAAACAAAAGTTAAAGAACAAAATAAATACCTTTTTATTCTTTTACAAAGAGAAAATGAATGTTCTTGAAATGAACGTGTACGCTTTAGCCAATGATCTGCTTACAGTCTGTAAATTCATTGTAAAGATTCTTGTCAGGAAATTAAATTTCCGAGTGTTGCCTTTGACAGATTTTATGGAGGAGCTGCCACTCACAGGTCTGGAACATGGGGAAACAAAGACAACAAATAGTTGTGCTTATGATATTTTTCACTGGAGTATGAAGGATGAGATGCCTCTGAGTTCTACATGCTTTCCTCCAAGGGAGATTTTGAGTACTTTCATGAAGTTACCATGGAATATATGCTTTTACTTAATATCTCTCTTAAAGCATAGGATTTATTTTCAATTGTTTTCAAGGTACTTGTACCACAAAGAATTCAGGGACTCTGTAACCATCAAGATTATGTAAAACAGCAGCACAGGTGGTATTTTCCACATAAAAGCACATAGGCAGTTCTAAGTGAAAACTGTGAGGATAAATTATCCTTCCAACTTTTAAAGGCCTACTAATCAGAAACACAGAGGATTCTTGAAGGTGCATTTGCCCTCCGATTATGAATAGACTTTTGAGAATTACATAGCAAAAGCCAGGACTTCTATTATACAGGGCATTGTGGGTAGAGCTCAGTATTGTTCTTGCTTTTATCCTAGCTCCCATAACTAATCAAGTCTCAAAAGCAATTCTCTTCCCATACTTCCTATCAATACAATGTATTACTTGATAAGAGACAGCGTTTGTAAAAGAGGCTTCTGGAAAAAAAGCAATATCCAAACAAAAACATTTACCTTTTGTCTCTTTAAAGACATGCTTTCTGTGAGCAAAGCAAATGAATGCCTTCTCTTTCTTCCTGTATACCCTAACTGCTGCATTCTGACCCTGACTATGAAAATCCTTCAGTTAAAGTTTTAGTACCATGTCTTCAAATGTTTGCAACTGACAATGCTCTTTGTAGGTACAGAAACCCCTTATTAAAAAAAAAAAAAAAAAGTAAAAAAAAAGAAGCAAGCAGGAAGTTACACCGAGTAAAGAGTAAGGATTCATTGTAAGTAAGTTACACCAAAGAAGAATAGAAGTTATTATGAATGTATTTACACAATTGTTAAGGTACACAAATACAGTGGTAGTACAAATGAAGCGCTCTGAGATACTGGTTTCCAATACACAGGTTTATATAGACAGTCTAACTATTTTCTGCATGATGGAATTTAACTATTATGAAGGACAAAAACTGCCCACAAGTGAGTACAATTCTAGAAGTCTGCAGTCAACTTTTAAGTATAGTACAGCAATCTAATGTTCCAGATACAGAGAGAATAAAGAGGCTGCCTTTGTAAGTCCCTCTAACAGTACATTATTAACCACAGATATTTACAAGGAAAGCACAGTGAAGTGTAAAACTCTTCAAATGGTAGTGCACATGCCTAAAATACTGAAGTTTATAGTAACCGAGGAAATAATTCTCCTATGGAAACTTATCCATGGATCAAACTCTTAAGCTTTTCCACTATACTCTCCCCAAACAGAGTTTTCCCCAGTCAGACTCAGAGTACACACAAGCAAGTAGCTAATGTTCTGAAAACATCCAAAGAAGAGTGACTAATACTTAATATGTGGACTTTTGAGAGGGGCAAAAAAGAATTTGTAAGCAGTGAAACAACAAAAATTACTCTTCATAAAGCTTTGAAGACCAATAGGCCTTTAAAAAATTTTGTTTTCCAGCAGGGAAGAATTTCTCAAAATACCTAACTGTTCAAACAAAATCTCTGTATGTACTTTCATTTCCAACGTGGAACTTCCCACTACTTCAGTCATACTAGTATAAACAGTACTTCTGATACCGTTCCAAGTGCTGTGAGAACAGAATACCTACTTTTATTTTACGAGACCATTTACAGTAACAAACAATGTGAAGAATCTCCCATATTCCATAACCAACAGGTGCTAACAACACCTGCAACAGTTTTTTTGGACAACCTAAGCATGCTGATTCATTCATTCCTAGCTAATGATTCTGGGCATACTCAGGTTGAATACAGTTAAGAATTAAATATGGTACGCACCTGAACTGTAAAAAGTCTCACGATTTCACAGCAAGAATAGTTTTGGTTTTTTGGAGGTTTTTTTTTTTTTTTAATAATTCCTTTTTTGAGTCTTGGCATGAAAGATAAGGCCTGAATCTATTTATTTATTTATTTTTAAACATGTAGATACTGAATGAAACGTGCAAATTCACCGAAGACTCAGTAGCAACGTGTATTTTCCACTTGCAACACCCTCCAAGCTAACCAGCCTCAGAGTGCAGGAAACAAAATTTTACCAATAAAAACAATGTTTGAAACTATCCATTTACCCAAACCAAGCAGAGAGATAGGACAAGCCTTCAAATTCTAAATCCCTCAAATGCCAGAGTCTTTCACTTTTTCCTTTTTATTTTTTACTTAAAAAAAAAAAAAAAAAAAAAAAATCCATTATCACCGTCTCTACTATACTTAGACTCTCCTGCAGGGTATTTAGTTCTTTTATGTAAAAGAACGAGTATTAGAAATTAATTTGTATTACATGGAAAGTTAAATGTTAAGTGTGAATGAAGACAGCAAACAGCAAAGGAAAATCCTAAGTTTTAAAAATTTCATGAGAAAACCGTCTCAGTCAATATGGGACCATACAAATAAGTAAACATTTTAAATAAAGTCAGATGGTTTTGATTCATTTACATGTTCCCTGCCAGACTAATTTTTTTAAACAAGAAATTTCAAGCCATTGCCTTTAGTTTAGGTTTGTTTATATTCTACATTTTTAAATCAGACAAAAGCAAGAGTTCTTTACAGAGAATTAAGCCAATAATTTTAGCAAAATGATACAAAAAACTTTCTTAAACCAAGTAAAAGATTTATAGTTACAGTAGAATAATAAAAAGGGGGTAAAGTCTGCCGCCTGTGGAGGTAAAACTGAAATGGCCATCTGATAACAGGCGGTCAACTCTGTAAACCATCTTTCTTTTCCAGCCCTGATACCACAGGGTTCTCTTAAGGTCACTGGGTTTCTGGCAAAAGCGTCCTGTAATGGCAGCTGCTGGAGTCTGTCCATGTTCCTCCAAGTGCCTTTTAAGTCACATGGAGAACTCCAATTGTAATGTTTCCACTCTAGTTTAGGGTATTTTTGCTAGTAAAGCCATTGGTAACATAGGAGATCAGCCATGCATTATCTGCCCTCCATGGCAAAATAATTTTCATCGGTGCACAGCAGACTGGAGAACACTGGTAGTTACCCGAGCAGGAATCTACCAAAGCCAAAAAACAAGACAACATCAGCACATACTCTTCCAGTTAACATACAAGTGGCTCTCAATGAACTTTTAAATAATTCGTTGCCAAAAGTAAGTGTGTGAATTGAAAATCCAATGAGCTACACAATGCTTCGCACCCACCTGTAGCTACACGAAGTTCCCTGTATTTTCCTCCTTTATTAGAAGTTAACATGGAAAATTCACCTTTCCAGCCAGAGGGGATGTTTTGAAGAAAAGTAAACAGAGCATAAACATGCACAGAAGAAAGAACAAACCAGATGAAAACACTACCAATGTGTAGAAATAGACTCAATGAATAATTAAGTTTGGGGGAAGAAAAAAAAATCCCAGTAAGAGAGTAAAAAACAATTAATTATTTTCAATGGCTTTTCATTTTTCATGGGACATTGTGTTAAAAGACACTTCATTAATTTCCATAGCTTGACCTATTTCAGTAACAGTGTAACATTATTTCAATAACACTTTCCCTGTGAAAGTGAAAAACAACCACACATCACTGCAATTTAAGAAGTGAGAAATGTCTAAGTAGGTGAATCAGTATTCAGTATTAACTTCAGTTGTAAACAGCTACAAATAGTAAGGCATACAGTAATGACCAAACAATGCACACACAACCCTGGGCAGACCAGAATCTGCATGTCTCCCGCACATGAGCTTTCCAATGCAAAGCTTTAGGTTTGCCTTTTAAAATTTTTAAATTTTTTTTTATTTTTGACTAAGGTCTGATAATTGGACTTTAAAGTGTTAAGGTGCCATTTACAGTTGGATCTTTTTAATGTGGTTTACGAAGCAGCTTGTGCACAGTCAGCCAGGCATACAAAGCAGGAGGAGAAAAAGAAAGAGAAATAGCAGGAGTCTTCACCAACTAGAGATACAGGATTAGTGCAAGCTTAGGCTTTATAGAGAAAGTGAGGCAGCAGACGGAGTTATACAACAGAATTTATTAAGGAACAGAAAAATCTCACAGCCTTTTTTTAATAAGAAGCAAAGCAAAGAAGCTCCTGAAATACTTAAGAAAGCATCCTTCAGCCATCAAGGTTCAGATTCCAACTGAAACTTGTTATTTCCCTGATGAAACCTGTTATTGCCAAAAGCAGAACAGACTAAAAAGCCAAAAGCTGCACACAGAAAGGCAGAAACTTCTACTGCACTGAACAGTGGAAAGGAGTTCTAAATACCCAAATCCAAGTCTGTCTACCTCCTAGATGCTCGTGTTCAAGCTATTCTCATTAGAATGTGAACATTTTTTAAATATAGATCTGAATAGATCTGAGTATTTTTAAAACAACAGCTCATAAGGAATGGAGAAGAATATAAACCAGTAGTGACAAATGGATACGGCTGTAGTAGGACATTCCATTCACGACAAGACAGAGCCTCATTTGAGTAATATAGTCAATTGAGTCTTCATACAAGTATTTTGCTTTTATGATTCTGAAGCAGATGTGGTTTTGAATGGATGACCCACTGCTGCATGAACATCCCTGGAAAGACATGTAATTCTCAAACAGCTAAAATTTAGACTTGGTTATTTTATTTTATTGTTGATGCTTGAATGATTTTAGGGACTTTTAAAGTCACTATTTTTGTCAATTCTGCTCAGGAGTCCAAGTGGAACAGCAGCAATAATTCAACTTTTGGAAGGACATTTACTTTTAAGTTAGAGAAAAAACAATGCTTCATCAAGCATCTGACCGGAAGGCACAGGTACAACTATGAGATAATGTGAGGAGAAGAAGCAAAGTTGGATGTTTCCAAAGATTTTTTTCCCCACCCCATCCAAAGTTTTGGTGTCTAATGAGAAGCACTCACCCAGTGCTGCCTTCCAACGAAAGGAGACGAGCAGCTACTTGCCATGGTGTTCGAAAGGAATGCTATTCTGAGGTAGGGGAAAAGACAGCAATTTGTAACAGTTCCACTGCCCCAATATATAAAGATGTCTAACAAATATGCAACCTAAACTTGCAGTAGCAAATGTATCTTTTGAGGAGCTCTGATTTCAGACTTCTATAAGACATTTCTATCATATTAAGAGATACGTAAAAGGAACAAATCATTATTCCTCAAAGAAAGCTGACAGGGTCAGAAGAACAACACGGAGTATGATGCCTATTAAGATGGATATATGGAGAAAGATTTGCTCATGAGGAGATGGAAAATGCAGAGGCATTGGAAGTGTGTTGCTTTTTCCCCAGGGAAGTGGCACAACACTTAAGTTGTTCAATGCCAGTGTTGGCTACAGTCTTCTAAAAACTTCTGCTGTCAGAGAGACTTAATCAAGTATTTCTTTGTGCAGCATTCCAATCTTTTCTTCCAACTACAGAAAGAATACCTTTCATAGGATTTATGCACAGCTTTGACTGTTGGGTGCTGAACATGCTACATTTGGGAAAAAAAAAATTAAACAACTTACTCTATACCATGAACAGCCAGACTGAACCTTCTGTGAAAGGAAATGAATGCTACTCACCCATAACTAGACTCTTGAGATGATCGCTGCTTTCAGAATGCAGTCTGTGCAATGTGGACCAACAGAACTGATTCAAAATAGTGTTTACTGGAATACTCATGACCTCCTTTACTAGGTTTCTTAACGTTTAAAGACTGACTACGTAAAGGAGACTTAGTGAACAATTCACCCATACAGGTTAAGAGAAGAAGGACAGTTTAACAGCTGGTATGATTTTCCATCCAGCACAGATCACAACTCTTCATTGCACAGAAACCTGTAATTTAGGCTTGCTTTAGACCTGAATGCACCACCTAGAAATGAATCCAGTTTTGATGCAAAGGCAAAGGGGACAGATGATCTGCTTCTTTTAGAAGCTGTTTCAGTGGCTAACTGCCTTCGCTTAGACCTCTGCTTTGCTTTTCTCTAAATGTGAGTGGTTTTAATTTTAAGCAGTAGGTTCTCCACATATGTTTTCTGCATAAATGTCAGTTCCTGTTAAAATTATTGTCTCTAAAATACTATGCCAACTAATTCAAGATGATCTGTTTGTTACCTTTCAGAAAACTGAAAGATGCTGATTTGAAACTCTTGCATTGTACAATCTGTTTTCCCAGGCTCAGTTTTTATGGCTCTTCTCTGTGTTACCTACAGTTTTCCAACAATTTAAGATACTGAGAACTGAACTAAGCATAATATTCCGGCATCTGTCTCATTAATGACATGAAATAACCTCTCAATTTCTGTTCATTACTGTATCATACATAGATTCAAGGATGAAATTATGCCCTTTCATTATGACATCACAATAACCTCTCCAACATCACACCTAAAACCTCCTCAGTCATTGCCTACCACAGATATAGTTACCACATACAAGACAATGGGCTCCACACTCCTTCATCCTAATCAGGTTTTGGAGTACTGCAGTAATACACGTTTTATTTGTATAGGCTTTACCTGACTGCTCAACTCTTACTAATGTTTCTCACTGTCAAACATCTAACAACTTGCAGGTTTTTAGCTGTTGCATTCATTTCCATATAATTGAGAAAAGTACTGAATAACGTGTGCCATAAAATTTTCGTACTTTCATTAGAAACACTTAAGTTTCACAAACCATTTCCTAGACATGCTAGCTGTTACTCCAATAAACACTCGTTACTTAGTGTTACAAAGTGCTAGTATTTCTAATGAGAATGATTTAGGTACTATGTGGACAATACCTTGGAGGTGGGGAATATACATGACACCTATTTTACTATCCTTACCAATTACAATTTTTCCATGAGTGTTAAATTTTTCTGAGAAGACCTATTTTCCATAAGAGAATGTTGGTTCATATTATCTACATTCCCAGTCCTAGATTTCAGTTTCAGTCTGAACTGATCAGAACTCATTTTGGAAAAAAGAAAGATAAAAATGCAGAGTCATCTTTAAGAACTCTACTTAGAGGTAAGTAGCCTTCATTATTTCTTTAAGTAACCTCTGCACATTTCCATTGCCCAGAGTTTAACAAGCAGTAGCCCTTCCTCTAGATGATGAGAGGTGGAGATTACAGATGCAGCGTTGCCTTACCAAACCATGGCATCCAAATAAAATAAAATAACAAAACTAATTTATCAAGTTATAAATAACAACTCTAACAAATGTAGTTCTTAACATAAGACATCTGTAGATCTGCAGAGCAAACTTTAATAGCTGCTTTCTACCAGGAGTTATGGTCTAAGCACTTCCTGAAAAAGGAACAGTGGTAGCATATTTACTTAAGACTTACAAAGAAAACTAACACACTTGGAATGGGCATGGACAAACAGTTGCCGTTCTTTACTGTTCTTCTGATAAGAAGTGGTATGGATGATTTTCTATATTCTTACACCTAGCCAATCAAAATTCTCCTTAATAACCTTGCCATGCGAGTTGGATACTTTACATTTTTCTGACTAAGAACAAGGTATAAAGATAATGGGAAACCCATGGCTTTAATTGGTAACCTAGTTAACATCTAAGGATAAATTTTGATTATGGAAGAACTACTTTAACGCTATGAAGATAGTAAGAATGTAAGCTATGAAAACTTGCAACTTGAGCCATTCTGCCTGCTGCGGAGTGAGAACTGGGAAAATGAAAAGCAATTTTCTCTAACGAGCTTAAGGGGAAGTGTTATAAGGTAAAGTCTAAGTAAATCTCTCTTGCCTTCCAAATCCAAGAGGCCCATGGGAAGCTGTTTAAATTATATTACAGTTGCACACTGTTAATCAGTTACCGTGAGTGGAGACCAGCAGTGGTTCACTGCCTTGATAAGAACTAAATGAAGACAACAGATGATGAATGATTAATTCTAACAAACTCAGAGAAGATCCCAACTAGGCTGCTATTGGAACTGTAAAGAAATCGACTAAGTGATCCCATACTTGGAGCAGAGGGTTAAAAAGGGCAGGTATGGAAATGTGCCATTAAGCCAGACTGTACTGTTGGCCCACACCACAAATTATACATCTGTATATTCAAAGACTACTCAAAAAACTTCACAGTCCTACCCAACCTGAGTATTCCCATTTTACAAGTTAGGCAGAACCGAAATGTATCTGTAAACCCACCGGGATTATTTGTACCTTACAATGTTTAGAAAAGTGTCACATGCGCACTGAGCTACATGTCAGTAATCTAGCAAAAAAAGAAAGATGTACTCTTTTCTAAAATAGTCAAGTAACATCACTGCACTTATTTGTTACTGCCATTAATTATTTATCAGCCTGGTAACAGAGACAAAGCTTCTGAGATCTGCTCAGAATGCCAGAGACAAACCCTGGGCACACACATTTTACCAGGAAACCATCTTTATATTTGATTAAACACTCGGGGGAACTCAGTGTCACAGCCTTACAGAATAGCTGAGGTCAGAAGGGACCCCCGGAGATCATCTAGTCCAATGCCACTACCCAAAGCACAGTCAACTAGAGCAGGCCCCTCAGGACAACGTCCAATTGAGTTCCGAGTAGTTCGGAAGAGGGAGACTCCACAAGCTCTTAGGGTAACCTGTTCCAGTCCTTACCCACCCTCACAGTTAAAAAGTTTTTTCTTATGTCTAAATGAAATTTCTTACATTTCAATTTGTGCCCGCTGTCCGTTGTCCATTCACTGGATATTGCTGAGAAAGTCTGGCTGCACCTTCTTTACATCCTCCTATCAGGTGTTTATGCATATTTACAAGATCTGTAACTATGCACAGTTCTACCCTGTTTGTTTTCATACTGTTTACAAACTTCAGCCATAAAATATTTCAATGTCAGGATTTCTGGTGGCAAGAATTGTAGTTCAGTCTTGTCCAGTCATTTCTGCTCCTGAACTGTTCATCCCTTGTGCAAGCACAAACATTTGTGCAGCTACATGGTGAAACAATTCATTCAGCTGAAAACCAACCCCCAAAATCCCTCTTCGCTTTTGTTACAGCAGAATTGTTTCTCCAATCCAGTTCACCCTCAGTCTTCATTAGATATACTCACCTGGCCTCCATCTAAAAGAGTGCTCCCTTTAGCGGTAAGAGTTTATATATAAGAACACATACTATCCCAAATAATTTTGCCAATTAAATGATGAAGCCAAAAGGAACTGAGTTAATTTTTATCAATATGCTCTGCCAACGAGAAATAAAATGAGTCCATGGCAAAAATTATGCAGTTAGAACTCCAGCACAGCATTGAGGCGTGATGGAAAAACCCCTAGGCAACTGCATCAGTCCTCGTAACAGACTGCTCTCCCAGTAATGTGGCAGTATGCCTACAGTACAGGTGATTCCCCATTCTGTAGGTAAGACTGAAGGTAAGTTGTACAAAGCCAGGCCACACACTACTTAGGACGAGTCTGTGTGAATACCCTGAAAACAGAATGTTTCAGCTATAGCATAAAGAGTTAAAAATATATTTAAACATTGTTTGTCAGTCTTAAAAAGAAGCATTCCTAAAATCTCTTTGCTACGTCACTGTGACCAATGAGGATGATTTCAGTGCTGACTATGGCTATGAATCACTCTACAATTCATCCTCCTGCCATCCTCTTCAAATGAGCCTTCTGCGACCTATCCACCATCCACGTATGTGGCTTCTTATCTGCTCTGAATTACAGTACTGCACTACAACATTTCTTCACTTTAGCACTTTTCTGTTCTTCACCAACTATATCTTGTCTATTCTGCACCAATATTCTCTGTTCTGTTGATTTGGAAACGTGACTCACAACTGCCTCTAACTTGCTTTGCTTCCTCATTGATAACAGATATAAGAAACCGAATGAGCAAAGGAGCTAAACACTATAATGGTAGGTAAAAATGCTGCATCTCCAGGATTTTGCATCATCTCACGCACCAATGACTCTGTATTACTTTGAGTATTTTATGCTTATTGCAGCCAAGGTAAAAGAAAAAATTTAAAAAAAAAAATTTTCTTTACAGTATTCTACAGCCACATCACAAACATTCAGTTAAAATGTCAAGTATTTATACTTGTCATCATCATCTGCAAAATCCGTATGAAATCACATCACTTAGCTGGTATGTTCTTTTGGCAAATTAACTTTATCAAATCACCCTCATTTTTCCATTACGCAGAAATCTTTTTTACCTGCGAAGTTGACATGCGAGAGGTATCTTGCCGGCCTGTTAAGTCAGACGACGAGATATTGACTGGGGCGCCGCGATGCAATCTCATACTCACTTTCCTTTCTCGTTCCATACCAGATACTGGCCGAGGAGAGGTGTTGGCTGTGAGAAAAACGGCATTAGATTCTCATAACGAGAAATGGGATTATAACATGGTCACCAGAAAAACTACACTCTCGCTGTCTGCATATAAAACTTCCACAGAGTCAGACAAGAGAAATCAAGGGCTTTGTTTTACATTTACAGTAATCTAAGTAGCAATTGGCAGGTAATGAGTGTATACAATTACCTTCAACCTACTGAAAAGCAAGGGGAGAAAAAACAAAACAAAAACCCCAAACCCCGACCAGAGATAAATACCACTCAGGTATCCTAATTCTAATTTCTAATTCCCAATGACCAGGAACAAACTGCAAATTAATAATAGTCTACGAGGTGCATCTATACAGGTATTTGCTTACTTACCAGCATGTGAAGTTGGGGTAAGAGGAGCAGGAGGAGCTACATCTTGTGTTCCTCTCAGCCTGCCAGAAGCAGTGGAGGGTAATCCACGCACAGCTGGATTTCGTGTATGTCTCAATCTTTCCTCTCTTTCTCGTCTTTCACGTTCAGCATCTTCAGCTGCTCTGCTTGCACCCTACGGGTCAAGACTAGTGAACAACTTGGGGGATTATTGAGTTTACAGCTATATGTTCGGATAAAATTACTGAAAATAAAGAACTGGACAAGCCGTGAAGTTTGTTAAGACATTAATTGTTTTGGTGAAATTTCTTGAGAACTGCCATAAATTGTGTTGATACAACTGCTGGGATAGTCTTCAAAATGCTAATATACACACATACTGTTATGGCAGCTGAATACCTCCTCAACAGTTGCAAATGACCTGTGCTGAAGATCAAGGTGGGAGAAAATAATAATTCCGCAACCTAGCGTGGTGACTGCCCTGAAGGAAGTATCTAAGAAGCCTTACACGCTTAAAACCCTGGAACTTCAACTTACTTGTAATTCAACCCTCATCTCATGGCTCCTGCACCTCTTGCCTTTCCTCATTTCCTGATCTTTTTTTGTAGACAATAGAGCTTCCAGGAGGAAAAAGGCAAGATAAACTTACGGTATCAGTTAAGATACTCAAAACTGACAATGTTGTAAAAACATACCATTATCAAAAAAAGTTTTAGAAAGCTATGTCAGCTACTCACAAATTTCAGCATGTTCCAGTCAAACACATAGTCATAGGAGAACCCTTGTCGGTGGAAGAGGTTTCTGAATAATTGCCTCAGATAGGAATAGTCTGGTTTGTCATCAAAACGCAAGGAACGGCAGAAATTCAAGTATGTGGCAAATTCAGCTGTAATAAAAGAAAGCCTGTTTTTGTCATTCAGCTTCACATTTGCTTTTTATAATTCTGAATCACAAAAAATCCCACAACCACCCCGAACCCAAGAAATAGGGAATCTCCTAAACATAAGAAAAATAATAATGACCTAATAGTAGAAATCTATTGAAGGCAACACTATAGTCCATCTATCAAGTCAATCCTGAAAAGCAAATTGTCTATCACAGAGCATGTAAAGATCTCATTTGTCAACAGAGAGTACCCAATATGAGAATACTTTAACAACAGCTGGGGGGTGGGGAGGGCAGGACAGCTTTAAAACTACAGTTGAGAAAAAAAAAAAAATATTTTTTGCCTTTCTTTGCTTTGAATATATTTAAACACAATTTCTTGCAGGACACGGAATAGCATCTCTTTGTTGTTAAGTCACATAAAGATTCACGTTTGCTACCTCACAAACACGCAAAAACTAGGGGACCCATACAAATTTCCCGTGTAAGTCATGCTACAATTTTACATTTGCAATAGTCTGAAAACCTGTTTTTATATGGCACATGAAATACTAGTTACACAGCAAAAAATGCATATTCTTGTCAATGTGCCAGAGATAACAGCAGTATCAAAATACCAGCTTTTGAGTTCAAGTCCTTCTGGCTGAAATAATATATTAATAATTTACCTTAACAAAGAAATTCTAACAAACAGCACAAGAAAAGTTGATTAGTCTTCCCTGTAAACCCCAGTGAAAAAATATAGTTAATGAATGTAAAGGAACATGTATGAAGCGACATTTGAAACAGATCAAAGACAGTAAGTTTTCATAAAACCCTAACAAAAACTATAGTTCTCATTATCGTACCTAGCTGCCGAAGCCAGGAGCGTGGAAACAATAGAGACAGAACTCTTCACGAAACATCAACAATACTCTCTGATGGCAGCTGATGTTAACAATTTTTAAAACAGATTTAAGTATCATTTTGCAGGGCTCAAAAATGTCTAGTTATTACTGTAGTGTAAATACCAAACTGAGAAAGAGAACAGCTTTGAGGCATGATGCTAGGATATAGGAGGGTTTCTAATGCCTCTCACAGATGCTGACCATCATCAGGCCAAACCAGATGAACCTGGAATGACAATTCCCAAGTGAAACAACTGCAATAGGAAAGAGGTGCATCTGACTATACAGTCCGATTCATCCAAGAAACAGTACCCAGACATAGGAAGAAACAGGTAGTTTCTCAAAAAGCTATTTGTCTGTTAGAGTTATCCAGCCAGCATAGACGCATGCACACACAATACAGCGCAAATCATATGTACCAAGTTACCCCTTGACTCGAGGGCACCACAATGATTGTTTACTAATAGTTAAGGGATAATTAGAAATGGTCTACAAACACAAAGATCCCAGTCTTGAGAGCACAGTATCTTTATCACAGATGTGCCCAATCATGGCAGGGGAGGTGGGGGTGGTACAGAAGGGTTAAAAAAAAAAAAAAAAATAAAAAAGAGAGAGAACTAAAAAAGACTGGTAGAATTCAGCGTAAAGAAAAAAGAAATGCCACTAAAATGTGAACATGTAGATCTAGTGCCACAAAAAAGTAACTTACAAGGATATCCTTTACATAAAACCTCAATGGGTGTAGACATTTTCTTTTCACTGATACGTTCGTATTTCTGCCTCTTTGTTGCTGCTTTCAGTCCCTGCCAGGGGAGGGAGCCCAGGTTAAAATACATCAGTACATAGCCCAAGGACTCCAAGTCATCTCTGCGAGATTGCTCTACAACAGCATAAAAAAGTGGACTCATTAGGTTTCATTTTCTAGTGGAAAAACAAAAGACCGTGCAACAAGACTGTCATAAAAACCCTTAGAAAAACAACATAGCTGAGTTACTATGCCCATGATAAACTCATCCAGTACAAGAAAAAGCCTATTACCCTTGCAGTTATTAAAAAATGTGCTAATTCCTGACAATTACAAACTGACCGAATCCCACCCAATCAAGAGATACAAGACCAAGCATGCTGCACTGTTAGTGCCAGAAATAAGAGACCGTCTTCTATTCCTCCATAAAACAACATCTACTTGTACTAAAATTATGTGCATCGACATTTTTAAAGTTTCTATTTATTGCTTTCCCCAGCTCACCAATTCCGAGATGAGTGTTGATGGATGCATAACGGGCAGTTCCTGTTAAGTTTTTATTTTCACGATATGGAATATGTTGGTGAGTTCGAGCATCTCGATACTTCTTTGCTAATCCAAAGTCTATTATGTAGACAAGATTGCCTTTCTTCCCCAGGCCCATTAAGAAGTTATCCGGCTTCACGTCTCGGTGGATGAAGTTCTTAGAGTGAATATATTCAATTCGACTAATCTAAATACAGAGAGGAAAAAAAAAAAATCATCATCAAGAGACTGGGCATAAACCTTTTTTCTTACAAAAACACTAGCAACACTGTCTTAATGATGAAAAAGGTAAACAAACTTTTTATTGTAAAATGTAAGGGCATTAATGAGAACATAATCACATAATTTAGAAAACAATAGATAAACCTCTCCAGCTCTTTGCCGCTGTCTATTTTACATTTGTTTCAAATAAATTTCTTGGGGGAATTTCTTTGTCTTTGAGCAGTGCAACACCCGGTTTGCAAACAGTGCAGGTCCAGTTTTAAAAAATCAAATTAAGACTTTATCACTTTTGATGGGACACTTTATATTTACAGAAACAAAACAAATTTTGGGTCTTTTCTCTAATGATACAGCCTGTTCACCCCTAAATTACAGAAATAAAACGTAGTTGATTATGATCTCTCAAGAACTTTTAATATCCCAACATACTGCACTATCAAGATCAACAAAGCAGTTTCCTACCATTTGGTCAGCAAGTAATAGGACTGTCTTGAGACTAAATTTCCTTGAACAAAAATTGAAGAGATCTTCAAGACTCGGTCCCAACAGCTCCATCACCATTACGTTGTAGTCCCCTTCAGCTCCACACCACTTAATTGTGGGAATACCCACTAGGAAAAAGGAAACAGTTTATTCAGTATAACATTTTGATTTATACAGTTCATACACTCAAATCTTCAAGGCTCTTAAGATGAATTCTAGGAGGGTCATTACTGTGAATATTTGTATTTACAGTGAAGCTTAATATTTTATGCTATCTTCAGCCATTCCAAAATGAAAAGTTTTCCAAACTGAAAAATCTTCCTAAATGAAAATTTCACAGCAGAACCAATATAAAATTATAGTAACAGAGGTCTAAAAATAGCTTTTTTTCCTCTTCCCCAGAAACCTCCCAGTCTTTGTGATTAGCTTGTAACTTGAAAGTATTTAGCGTTTTTGCCGCATTTGAACCTTAAGCATTTTACAAGTACTAATACTCATGTAGTCTCCAAGATGGCAATAAGGAGCAAATTGGAAGTCTGAAAATAGACACTGAAAAACCACTAAATATTATTACTGAAGAAGGCCTTAGAAATTAACTTCTTAGTTTCAAACCCTACAAGATCACCGTAAAATACTTCTCTCTTCCATTTCAATTTGCAATGAATTTTCACCCTTGCTTCACACTCTTGTCTTTCCTCCAGTTCCACTGAATTTGCCGTTTGGTGATTCTCTACCAAAGTAGCATTGTTTATGAGATGTGTTACATATTCAACTTGAGAGAGCTAAAATTAGCTCTGCTTTATGGAGAAAGTCAGGAAAGTTATTTCACGCAAAACTGCAGAATTGCTCAAATATTTTGAATTAAACCTGCATGTAAGTAGCCTTATTCAGAATTTCAAATGCCTTTATTTTTAGTTAATTTTATGCATTTTGGAAGTCAAATGGCTTAATTCACCCATTTTAAACTCTTACCTTTACTGGACATGCATTATTTTTACCTGAATTCCCTTCACAGAGAAACCCTTATTCAGATGGAAACTTAACGTTCTGTCACCTGCCTCTGCAGCATCCATCCTCAGAAAGAACCTACCATCACAGCCTAAGGAAGCATTTTACTCTATGAAGGCTATTGAGGTTACACACAGGCAGCAACTGAATGAGGCAGGAATTAAAAAGTGACTAAATGCAAATACACATTATCATCCATTTCTAGATGTATGATTATTGTATTTTGCATTTGAGACACAGTGTGGAAGGCAGACTTTATGTGAAGTACAGCCTCATTTAGGAAAAATTAAAGGGGCTATGAAACAAAAGCAAAACTTAACTACACCGAGCTTATATCCCAGAACTGCATGGGAATCTTATATCTGCAGAATTCCAAAATATATTGAGCGAGTTATCCTAGCAGACTACCATGCAGTAGCTACAAAGTTGCTTCACTCCTGTTCTCTACTACTAATGCCATTTTGTCTTAGAATTCCCACAGCAAAGAAATATTTTTAACTCAGAAGAAAGAATGCTAACAAAAGTCAAATCAGTGCACTGCCAGATGGGACCAAACTTTGTTCCACGTTGCTCAGGGTTTTCACATTTTAATAGTCTGGGACCATGAGCAACATTGAAGGATCTTAGTGGTTATCATGAAGTTTGGTAGCCATGGATTTGGAACTGCTACTCTATATCGCTCACAGAAGAGCTGAGGTACTGCTTTTCACTCACCCTGCCACCTTTCCCACCTTCTCCTTATATGTCAAAAGAGATCTTAACCATTAAATACTTCCAGGTGGTACATACATCAAAGACATAAACCCAGTTAAATCTCTGAAGGAGGAAAATAATTTGCTTGCCTCCACCCTGCATCATTTTGTAGATTTTGCTCTCGATGTGGAGCTGAGGATGTTTGGTTTTCACACATTCCAACTTAATTGCAACCTCCTCTCCAGCGGCAATATCAGTTCCTAAAACCAGAAGAATTTAAAACATTGGTCAAAATATTTTTTAAGATGCACTTCCTTTGTCAAGACTGAAACAAAACAAATATTGACAAACTACTACTCAATGGCAAACATCCAGAGATTATTAAGAACTTTCTGATGCAATTATCTAAAAATTCTTCTGAAGTCTTACAGATTCTCTCCAACAGGCTACCAGTTTAAGAGACAACTATTAGACACTTGTAGCACAGGAAGCCAAAACTGCTGCTATCCCATTCCAAAAATATACGAGTGTAACTTCGGAGGGGTGTCTTTCCACTTCCAGTTTGTGGTGAAAGTGCTCAGAATGAACATTTACAGGTGTGGCACATATCCCTGCCAACCTCAGAAATGCTGGGAATTCAGATCACCTCCTCTTATGCCTTGGAAACAGAGACTACAACCTCCCTAAATCTCAACATACTCCAGATGTATTCTGACACCTTATGATTCTATCTGTTTGGGAGGCAGATTATCTAGAATCAAGAATTTGTCTTCTCAAAAAACTTTTAAAAAATCTCATTAGGTTCCTGTTTTGGGAATCAAGTGACTGAAAAATTGGCTTACCTGTTCACTTTCAAAGTTTAAATGTATTTAGGGAAAAACTAACATTCTTAAAAAGAAACAGAGTCAAGAAAATACATAATCTGACAGCCAAGCAACTTAGGAATGACAGAGAAACATGAATTGGCAAAAGGAGATGTGTGACGCTTTTTAGAGGTATCACCAAGTCTCTCTACTTTCAGAATTTGCTTTCTCTTTTCTGCACTACCTCATGGTTTAGGATCATGTGAAGTACATCACCTACTGTTTGTTCTGATCCCCACTCTTAAAAGCTTAACCTGAGGTTCGCTAATTTTTGTTTGGAAAGAAACAGCAAACAATCATTTTCTGCTCACTTTCTCCATGATGTTCAGGATTTCATAGACTTCTACCCTACCTCACTTTCCCTTAACTCTTTTCAGCATTCAAAACCTCTTGCCATTCTTTGTATATAAGTCATTTTTAATTACCCCTAATTATTCCCCTTATCTTTACCTTTTCCAGTTCCATAATGCCCTTTTTGACAGTCACACAAAGCAATTAAGACAGAGATGCACAATTATAATTTTTTCCTCCTTATCTATTTTTTCCCACATACTTTTCTTTGACCATGATGGGAGTATGAAGCTAATGTATTCACCTAACTATAACTGCAAAATCTTGTTCCTGAGATTACGGAGCTACTTCAGAGCTTTATAGGCTTTTGTCTATAAAGTCAGGCTAACCAAGGCTAACAAAGACAGGCTAGCACCCCACACCTCAAAACGGGCATGACTCTTCTCCTCACAAGGAACTGACGGTACATGGAATTATCTACGAGTTCACACAAGACTTTTTTTTTTTAGGTTAATAAAATGTCTTCTTGTGTGTGTGCACACATGAGTATTAAGGTGGTGTTGCTGATACAGTGAGTTGTTCTGAGTGAACACCGGGATCGATATTTATTAGGCATTTCACAATGCATCTTAAGAAAACAAACCATCTGAAGCTCACTCTATGTACAATAAGCACAATTCAAGGTGAACAACTGGAAGACACAAATCAAAATAAGGCTGTTCATATGACTCCTTTGTAACTGGCATAATAGGTGGCAGGATCCTTGACTGCTACGTTGGTCACAGCGCTGTAGCAGCAACTGGAAACTCTTAAATCTGTAATCTAAGGTTTTCACATTTTATGAATATATTACTCTGGTGGACTGTAAATGAGTTACGGCGCACATCAATCCAGAAACGTAAAAGGGCAGATCAACAATACAAGGAGGAACGCATTGTCTTCTGATCTAATACTGACCTCTCCACCCCAAACAAATAAAAATCTTGATTTTGAACCACAGAACTCTGGCCCTTTCTCGCTTATCCCTACATTCACTACCTGTTCTCCCCAGTCCCACAGTAGTCAAGATCAGGGAAAGCGTAGACTGAAGACACTATTATCTGATGGGTGATCAGCAACAGACATGGTTGTTTTGGGGTTTTGGTTTGGGTTTTTTGGTTGTTTTGTTTTGTTTTGTTTAACTTTTCTCATCCAAAACAGACCAAATTGCTGTCTGAGTACGCTGAAAGACACATCTCTTTGTAGTTAGCTGCAGACTTCTCTGTTTGATTAAGGCAAAAACTGCATGGGAGGATCAAGACCTGTATTATTGGTATCAAGTTCTGCTCAACACAGTATTAAACTGTTACTTGACAGACCATGGTCTCAACTTAATAGGTCATTTCTTAGGATAGCCTTTATCACCTAAGGTAGCCAAGATTGTTAGCCTGAGCTCTGCTTCTGTATAAACCCTCTCCTTCAAGACCAGAGATTTCATATTAAAATAATGAAATTAAAATATTTGAGTCCAGCAAAACTGATGAGAGGGGGACAAAAATACAAATCATTCTTCCAAGCAATTCAGTGCTTGTGCCCAAGTAGGGACTTTTGTGCCCACTTAAACCCTGGGACAAAGTTTCTAAAATAACTCCATAACCACCAAAAGCTTAGCTTTCTTTACAGAAAACATAATAATATTTTAGAAGTAGCAAGAAGCAGTATTATGAGCAGAATCAATAATTAAAATTAGTAACAAACAGTATAATGAAAAGTCACCATTTGTAAGTGAAAAAGAAAGTCTAGAGTTGTTAAAGTATTTTCTTTTAAACTGCAAAATTCCAATTTACTTGGAATTGCAAAATCTTCTACCCTAAGGAAAGCCTTGGAAATTATTTCAATTAGTTTACAAGCCCAAACTCATTCTTAAGAAAGATATATATGTAATGCAAAACCCCTGAAATCACAGCGACTGCAATGCCATCATGGCTCCTATCTATTTGACCTCATGGACCGAGCAACAAAACAAATGCTTATTCTGACCCCGCACCTCACCCCTTGTCCATCTTTTACACGATTTGGAATATCTGGGAATCCATTTCTTTCCTATCTTCCTCTGGAGGGTAACTTCAAAAGATGCAGTTACACTAAATTCCTACATTCTATTTTAAGTTGTCCACAACCCTTTATTTACAATAGTGCCTTACATTTCAAAGTCCTGTCCCACAGACCCTGCCATTCTAAGCAAGCAAAGGGGCCATTCCAAATTCCAGAAGACATATTTTGAGGTATGAGGGAGAATAGGAAAGAATACGAAAGAACTATGATAATAACAACAGAGTTGTTGGCTTCATATTCCAAAGAACTGACTGAAAAAAACAGAAGGAAAGAAAGAGAGAAAGGAAGGAAGAGAGAAAGGAAGGAAGGGAGGAAGGGAGGAACAAGGTCCCTCCCCTCTACTCTGGAATGTCTTCAATACCCTTGTAGCTGCATGAAAAAATACATACAGGGGTACTGGAAATAGGCAAAAATAATCAAATCTTCCTTTTCAAAGCATAAAACCGAGCTGGAAATCTACACTGAGGTAATCTACAAATTCACTAAGGGCTATCAGAAAGCATGTGCACAGAAAAAAAATGTCATGACTTCTGAAAGAATTTTAAAAGTTATTTCAAGGCACTTACATCCTAAAGCACAGTCTGAACAACCAAGTAGAAACTTGTTTTTTAATAAAACCACACATTTCATTATCACAAAAAGCACATATTTTGAACACCTCTGTTCTACCAGATAATGGTATGCAAACCAAATGGGCCTCTCTACAAAAGGCTTCAGTTCTTTAGAGGCAGTTATTTCCCCTGGAAAACAAAACCAATGCCATTAGGTGGATCTTCCAGGCATATTATTCTCTGCTAGTTACTGGCTCAGGCATGACATTTGCAGCAAGCCCTAAAAGTAAATCCACGCTGGCTACTTAGAGATAAAAAGAAGAGGTCAAAAACTGAGGATAAGGAATTCTTGTGCAAAATGCAGCATGGCAGTAGTACTAATATACAGAGAACTATTATTTCCTGTGCAACTTTACTGGTGTGGGCTGTATGCATAAAGATAAAAGTGACAAATAAAAGATGTTTATTTTACTTGCACTTTATATTTATATTATAATATAAATTGATTTACCTGAGCAGTAGTCAAATGCTCAAGTAGAAGTTTCTCAAATCATCTTAAGATTTTTCAGAGTTTAACCGCTGTCTTAATCTCCACCCAAAATCCCAATGGTAGCTAATGAGGATTTTTGCACAAGCGTTACCACCATCTTTCTCACAATAGTCTTCAATCTTTCATGCAAGCATTGCAGAGAGAAAGAATCGTGTTCTCCGCCTCTAGACAACCACATGCCTTCAGCTAGAAACATGGATTTTTCATCAGGCATATGATGTATATTACTGATAACCAGTATTTCATTATCTGTAAACAAGCACCTTTAGCTAACAAATCATTTTGGAATGCCAGCTGTGCACTGCAACATGAAACACTGCTGCCTAGGAAGAAAAAACACCTCTCGTACTCCGTACACTGCTAAACATACTGCATACGTTAGCTAGACATTGTTTTTACCCTCCAGATGTATGCAGTTAACGTACCTTAGCCCCTGCATGTTCCACCTCCCCCTCCTTTTTGACTTGCTTTTCTAAGTTACCACAATTTTCAAATGCAGAGTACTCATTTCTATGCAGCAGGATATAAAATTTATATTTCTCTAGATTTAACTATTTCTTATAGTTTGAGAGTTTGCAGAATATATTGAGTATTTTAAAAATACCTGCTTTCAAAACTTGTTGTACCCACCACTGCTTATCATTATCATAAGCAGTGAGCCACTATGATAGAGAGCTACATAAACAGACAGGCAAAGACAATGCCAATCCTGCAAATTTTACAATTGCATAGAAATCATGGTAGTAGAATAAGAAATAGGCAATAAAGCATTAGGGCAACATTCAAGCAACAGAAGAGCCCAACTTTGATGATTCTTTGAAGGATTTGAGTTTTTTTTTAACTGCAACCTAGTCATCCGTAGTTGTGTAATTTTTTTTAGGCCTTGCAGGAGAAACAAACATCCCTGTGACAGCAATTTTTCCTAGTCCCTTGCAGTGATACTTAACCCTGATGCACGTTTCTTACTCAAAACATTTTTCTGAACATGCTGTGGTGTTTTGGGTTTTTTTTCCTTCAAATGAGGGGATTTATACCCTTATCCCCATTTTACAGATGAGAAGATTAACGGTGCCCAAGGTCACAACACAACAATGGGAAGAGGCTGCTAAGTAAGTCAGAATTCCCGATTTCCGCACTGTCCAAATTAGGACATGATGTCAACGAAATATTAAATGGCTATTGCTGTGCCCCTGGCAACGTACTTCATATCAAAAGGCATTTCTCGGACAGCCGCACAGCCTGAGCTCCAGCCGGGGTTAAATGAGGTCCCGGGGGCTGCCCCCGGCCCAGCCTCACCGGGGGCTGGGAGCGGGCACGGCAGCGAGCAGCGCCCGGCCCGGCCCGGCCCCCGACTCTCTCCACAGAGCCCCCAGACCCGCCAGGTACGTCCCCAGCGACCCACCCTCCTTACCCAGGTAGATGTCCCCGAAGGAGCCGCTCCCGATCTTCCGGCCCAGCCGGTACCGGTTCCCAACCCTCAGCTCCATGGAGGCAGCTCGGTTCGTCCGCGACCCGGTTCTGCTGCTCTGCCCGCCCTGCCGGCTCGAGCTCCGCTGCCTCACAGCCCTGCGGTTCCTGATGCCATCGCGGCTTTGGTCCAGCCGGTCGATACTAGCGAAACAGGCAGCACCGTCGCCGCAGCTCCCGGGAAGGATGGACGCGGATTCCGCGCAAGACCGTCCCCTTAGCCACTTCGGCTCCCAGCCGCCATACTGCGTGACCTCACTTCCCTAGCAACGGGGGCGGGGCGCGCTGGCTGTGGGGACGGGCGCGATGCCTCGCGTGGCTAGCTGTGGCGCGCGGGTGCGGTCCCGCCTCCCCTGTCTCCCGCCTCTTCCCGAGGGGGGTTCAGGCGCTGCCGCCGTCCGCTCGGGCCCCGTGGTGAGGAGCCGTTCGCGGCGGCGCCGGCTGCTTCCCCATCGCACTGCGCCGCCCCACCGGGCCCATGGGCCGGGCCCGCCCGGGCCGTCCCAGCCGTCTGCGCCGCGCCGCGCCGCGCCGTGAGTGGTCTGCCGGGCAGGGAATGCGGCCCGCGGCCTTCCGTGTGCGTGTGTCGTCGTCGTCCTCCCGCCGTGGGTCGTTGCAGTGGAGAGGTACGCCGACTTGCGCTGGGCTCCGAGGAGGGCTCTTTTGACCGTCAGGTGTCAGGATCAAAGTCTGAGTCACGACCCCACAAATTTCAGGGGAAAACCGGTGAGGAGCGTTGGGGTCTCCTCTGTGGGGTAGAGGAACCACCTGTCTGCTACAGTGGAAGAGCAGTGGTGAGGAAATATGTTTCTGTTTGCATGTTTCCTCCTTTTCTTGCAGCAGCACCCCTTGACAACACAACCTTGACAGGCTAGTGATCGTCTTACATTGGACAATTCAAGGTTGCCTTCTCTTACTGCAAGCAGGGGACTGCACTTGCAAGTGGGAAGATGGATTATGAAGCCAACTTCTGGCATGAACAGGGTTGGGCTGCAGATGGCAGTGGACTGTGATGTAAAGGGGCTGGGAGTATTGAGAGAGGTATGTGTGGCAGAGGGAGGGAAAGTGAAGTCAGGATAGGTTTCTAGGCAAAGAGTCTCTGAGTACCCTTCCAGTTGTTTCACATGCCATCCTGCAAGGGGGAATTTTTCTGTGTCCTGGAAGTGAACAAACTGTATAAGCCTCCATCTTGGAGACACTTGCTTCCTGCCAGTACTGCTACTGAGATGCAGGGTTTTCTGGATCATTCTGCCTGAGTGGTGGTGGAGACCCAACTGTGTGGGCAGTGATTGCTGCGTTGTGTGCCAAGGCCTAAGCTACAGCTGCCTGTCAAGCAGGAGCTGCTGTGTGCTCCTCAGAGGTAAGAAGCAGGAGGACTAGGCTACATGAGTACCCATGTTTTTCTGTGGAGGGTGGTTAAGAGCCTGCAGTATAAGTGCACAGGGAGGGATGAGTCAGAGAATGTGTGCGGTAGGAAGCCGATGGGACCCTCTCACCCCTCTTCCAATGGGTGGCACGTGTAATGTACTCCTCCCTGCACCATCAAGGTCTGAGTCCTGCTGCGGAGAGAGGGATCAAATACCAGCAAAACGTTGTATGTGTTAGGATGTGGTACCGTACAATTTTCCTATGGAAAATGGGTGTGAGTATGCGTTGATTTTGCATGGGAAGTGCTTGTAGAGCACTGCAGACTCAAAACTGGCAGGGATCTTTGTACTGAACATTTGGGGGTTTGGCTGTTTTTCTCCCTGTCATGCATGTGATCCCTGTGATTTGGCCTGCAGCAGTGCTGAGATAATCGTGGTTCCCCGCAATCTCCTGTACTGAGAGGAAGAGCTATGCTGTGGTACATGTGCTAGAATGGAGAAAATGAGAGTAGTGTCCTCCTTGCTGTATGTATTAGGGAGTGCACTGTGCAGCCTTGGAGTTGGAGGTGTCCTGATGGGCTCAGCAGAACTAGTAGCAGAAGTGCACAAGAGCAGCTCAACCGAGGGCAGGCAGCCAGAGACAGGGGAGGAATCAGTGCTCTATTAGTTGGGGTGTTGGACCACGTGTACAGATTGAGATGTGGATTGTGTAGTTCATACTGAGTTATTTAAGGCAATGAAGGTTTAGGGCACAGTGACAAAGGCAGTGGGTTCTACTAGTGTTCATAAGAGGGCTAGTTTTGTTGATTTCTGCTTAGGTACATAAGCTTGTGCATGTGGAGGAAGCTGCAGTGCTGGTACAGAAATGGAAACTTTTTTTTTCTACAGTCTTGGCCTTTGCAGTAGGAGGCAGGCTGAACATAGGACCAGAACTGTTGATCACAGCTGAGTAAGAGAGTTTCCATGCCCTTGATATTCACCAAAAAGTGTGGCTATGGGTACACAGAGGGAACAGTGTGGTGTCTTGGAATGTCATCTATCAAAGGCTGGCTATGGGTCAGTGTTCCCCCTTTCCATTGGTAGTTTGCAAATCATGGTTATTACTCATGGCTCTGGCAAGGATGTTGCAGAGGTACCTGTCACTCAAGCTTTCTGATCAGGACCAGAGTCATTTGCCTTCTCTCTGGTCTTGCGTCGTGATGACTGCTAAAGGTGTGAGCATCGTAGCTTGTAGTTCTTTATGCCAGTGCATGCCATTATGTGGTTTGCTAAATGTCTATAAATAACACAATTAATAAACGTAAGTATAGTTGCTGAAATTATTACTAAAGAGCATGGAACCAAGTGAGAAATTTCTGCAGTTGCTGAAAACGTCTCCGAGGCTGACAGAATGAGACACGTACACACAGTACCTATAACTGAAGGCTAGCAATCACTGCTGAGCAATGTTATTGTGGTAGGCCATGTATCTCAGCTCCTTGGTCTTGCCTCAGTGTCTCCATCGTGGCATTATAACTTTATCAGCCATTGCTTATCGATGGTAAAATCTGTCATTCTTCAAAAACATACAGTAAAATTCAATGTCCTACAGAAAACCTACTAGGTTTGAAGGGGGAAGGGAATAAAACTAGGCTTACCAGAGATGAGCCTAGGGGCTGCATGCCAATGTTGGGGGTGGAATCGATAGCCCAGCTCAAGTGAATCCATGCCAGTGCACGCAGCATGGGCAATAAACAGGAGGAGCTGGAAGCCATTGTGCAGCAGGACAGCTATGACTTAGTTGCCATCACAGAAACATGGTGGGATGACTCTTATGGCTGGATTGCTGCAATGGATGGCTATCAGCTCTTCAGAAGGGATAGGCAAGGAAGGAGAGGTGGTGGGGTGGCTCTCTATGTTAGGGAGTGTTTCAGTTGTACAGAGCTCCATGATTGTGATGATAAGGTCAAGTGCTTATGGGTAAGGATGAGCGGGAAGGCCAACAAGGCAGATATCATGCTGGGAGTCTGTTATAGACCACCCAACCAGGTTAAAGAGGCAGATGAAACATTCTGCAAGCGGCTGGCAGTAGTCTCACAATCGTGTGCCATTGTTCTCATGGGGGACTTCACCTTGCTGGGTGTTTGCTGGAAATACAACACAGCAGAGAGCAGTCTAGGAGGTTCCTAGAGTGTGTGGGAGATAAATTCCTGACACAGTTGGTAGGTGAGCCTACCAGGGGAGGAGCCTCACTAGACCTACTGTTCACAAACAGAGAAGGACTGGTGGGAGATGTGGTGGTTGGAGGCCATCTTGGGCTTAGCAACCATGAAATAATACAATTCTTGATTCTTGGTGAGGTAAGGAAGGGGGTGAGCAAAACCACTACTATGGACTTCTGGAGGGCAAACTTTGGCCTGTTCGGGACACTGGTTGAGAGAGTCCTTTGGGAGACAGTCCTGAAGGGCAGAGGGCTCCAGGAAGGCTGGACATTCTTCAAGAAGGAAGTCTTAAAGGCTCAGGAGCAGACTATTCCCATGCGCCACAAGATGAACCATCAGGGAAGACGACCAGCCTGGCTGAACAGGGAGCTTTTGCTGGGACTCACGGTAAAA